CATCTCTCAACCTTCATCATTCTGTAAAATGTGAAACCTGCAAACAGAAACTGACGTTTTCTGGGCAAGCAAACGAACCAGCCCAAAAAATCAATCAAAGCAGGGGCAGGCTGTCCAAGTCGGAGCAGTCAAAATCACCTGAGTTAAGAAAAAAAGGTGTAAAAAGCTGCGCGAGATCCAGCGTAACTGGCGCAAGAGTAAGCAAACGGCGTCACATTTGCCGTGGAAGCACTGGGAACTAAGCCAAAAAGCAAAGAAGCGGAAACGAAAGTGATCTGGAGCGGGTGAAGGAGGGGGTGGCAGAAGAGGGGAAAAAAGCGCAATTTGAGCGACAAACGCCTAAACTGCCCTGCACTTATCGAGCGATGTGGAAGTTCTGGCACAGGCCTGCTGTCTGCTGCTGCTCGGCAACACACATGTTACGTAAGCGGTACCTGCACAGTGGTCGACTCCTCCAGCAGATGTTCGGAGTGGCGTGTACGCGGCTTCCCATCAGAAATGATCTCGCGAGCTTCCTCCAGTGCCTCAGTGATATCGAGCGAGAGATTGTCGCTTCTGGTCCTGCTGCACGATAAGTTGCTCGGATCCTCCACTGCCTCCATGCTTGTCAAAAATCGTCGACTTGCCGCCTGTGTGTACGCTTGCACGATTACTCGCAACAACAGCCTAACATGCAAAATGCGCCCGACCACCCACCGGCCCCCCAGGAAGAACTGCGCGTGAAACCTCTGCGCCCAGCACCAGCTCCTCCGTACGTGACGTGGCAAGCACTGCACGCACGCACCCACCACGGGGCACACGTCCGCAAGTGAAACCACTCACCATGATCGTAACAGTAGTACGGAGCCGCCAGCAACAGCAGCAGCAACAAAAAGAAAACAAATCGACCGCCTGTTAGTACTGAAAAAGGACGGCTAGCGCGCACGCATGAAATCACGAGACCACCACAGAAGCAAGCGAGGCGCGAAGACTCATGCAAAATAGCATGCAAACCCACCCGGACACAACCACACTC